GTCCACCTCACTGCTTTGGTTGGGAGGTCTATAGCAGACTCCCACAGCGATATCACCTTTATTTACCCTTATCCTAATCCAAACACTCTCGACCCTGTTATCACTATACTTAATTTCTGAGCTCTCATAGCATTCTCTGACATACACAGCCACTCTGCCACCTCTCCTTTCCTGTCTATCCCTCCTGAAGAGTTTGTAGCCTTCAATTGTGGCACTCCAGTCATGGGAGGCATCCCACCACGTTTCCGTGATAGCCACTATGTCATAGTTTTCCTGGCGCATCATGGCTTCAAGCTCCCCCTGTTTGTTGTTCATACTGCGTGCATTGGTATAGATGCACTTCAGATGAGCTAATGGTTTCAACATCTTTTTGTGAGTGTGGGCCCCATTTCCTACCAGGCCCTTCTCAGGTGTTTCCACAATTTCTAGGTGTCTATCACTTCTCTGAAATGAATTGGTAGAGTAAGAGTCCATGCTAGTCCACCATCCCTCAAGCCCTGGTGTGTTTCCCTTGAGTTTAGTCCTATCAGGCCCAGTTATCCCCCCCTCCCCCCTCATATCTAGTTTAAAGCCCTTTCTAGCACTAAGAATTTGAACAGGTTGCACGGCAAGAGTAAGGAAACTCCATTACTGACATTTTAACAACAAAAAAAAACTCAGATGGAAGTTATTGGGAGTGATACTGGTACAGCTAATCCAACATGAGGTTAAGAAGATAGGAAGCCCCCAAGCCCTTTCCTGCTATATTTTCTAAAATCACAGAATCTTCCTCCGGAAAGCTTTCCAAGTTTTATACTAGATATAAATAAATTATTACTTATTTTGATTAACAGACTATATTAACATTTGTTTTCAAAGAGCATAACAATTTAAAATTCAAACTTAAAGGGACAGCATATGAAACAAAGAACAACATACATTTGAGAGGTTTTTCGGGACAGATTGTATTCACTTTCCACATACTCTTTCAATAGTTTTCAGGGAAGAGTCCCACCACTTTCTCCAGAGCTTCAAATGCCTCATGAAAAAAATCAGCTTTGGCTGTTCTAGCTTAGAACTTCTGCATTCAGAAGTATCCTTGCATAAAAAGTTAAGACTTGAAGAAAGAAACAAGAACGAATGTTTATTTTGGCCCCCTCAGAAAATATCTGTGAATAAATTTCTTCCACTTTTTTTTTGAAGGAGAGAGGATGAGATGATAATTTTTCTTAACAAGTACCTTTGAGAGCACTGAAGTCTGTACTACAGATTTGAGAAGATTCCTAAGTCTTCTTGCCACCCACTATACATTCAAAGACCAAGTGTAAAGGAATCTCTGTGGAGAAGTCCTATAAATCCCTAAGAGAATGAAAGTAATCTTTCCAAATTATTAAAAAAATAATCAAGTACCAAATAAAAATTTCTGGAGGAAATACAACTTATTTCTGGAAAAGAATACAAAATTATACAGTTTCATTGGAAAAGAATACAAAATTATACAGTTTCATAAGGATTGTTGCTATTCCTTGAAGATGTTTTCCCAGGAGTTTAGCAAACTGTATGGAAACAGGACTGTAAATATATGAACTCTTCTCTTTGGAAAGCAATGGACTAAAAACATTGTGGGAGGCTTTCCTTTATACAGATCCTTAGAAGTTGTCTTAAGTAAAAAAAAAAAAAAAAAAATAATCTTTTTTGAGATTCCAGAGTAGTGCAAAAGTAGAACAAATGGATAAAGAATTTTGATGAGTAATCAATCTTGGGTAATGGATACCACAGAATATATGAGCTCAACACGTTAATTCTCTGTAGATGAATTCACAGAAATGAATTTTCTATGAAAGCAGAGCCACTATTCTATTTGCATAGCTAAAGATATTTACATAAAAAAGAAAGGATAAAGACCAGCCTAGAACTTCTGGATAAAACTTCAGCTGCTCTGGTACCTTTACTGGAGCAGAAGTGAGGCAAAAAAATCTGTAACAGAGAAATTTTACTCCATTGAGTAAGTGAATAACCAACCAAAAGAACAAATATAACTTCTGCCATCTCTCAAATGTTTTCCTGAGTTGCAAACAAAACTTCTTCCTCATTCAGATTCTGTCAATCAGACAGCTATTCTGCAGTCTTAAAGTAATTCAAGGCTGTACAATCACATTTTCCAAGTCTTCAGAAGTCCATGCTACTTCCATGTCAGAAGTACAGAAATGCAGTCTGTATCCGTACCTTTGATAATTGCCTCACATTTCTAGGTTATATAAGAAAGCTTAGATATTATAACATCCTTCCTGTGATCTTTCGCTGGACTGATGATGTCTAGTGACATTCTTTTTGTCCTCCCAAACAAACAATTAAATATTTTGTTCATTTTCTTTATCTAAGTTTGCAAAGTCAACCTAACTTTCAGGGACTAATGAGAGTAGCAACGAAAAGCTCAGCATAGATACTTGCTGTTTGTTCATCACTGGAAAATTTATCAGCATAATCAATCCCTTTCACTCCAAATCATAAGCCAAAAACTCACTGTCAGGGATCACATATTCTAAGGAACACTGTAATTATCCACACCTCTTCAATACATTTCTAAAATGCAAGATTAGAGGAAGTAAACGTCTGGCAAGATTCTTGCAGCATTAAGAACTGGTTCTCTCAGGTTCATTAATCTCTTTAAGAAGGCAAAATGGTAGCACCGTTAGTAACAGTATTTCAGTTGTGTGCTTTATCAATGAGAAAAGTTAAACTAACATACAGATAAATAAATCAAAAAGCTCCCCTTGCACTTTTTCAGCCCCTCTAATGCTGAAACATTACAATCTGAATTGTATAATCAGATTGTTCGCAGAACTTATCTGAAAAGGTATCCCTTCTTCTGGCTGAGTGGCAATCATATATTTGAGTGGAAGTAGCTTAGATTCACAATGTTGTTAAACTGATGCACTCAACAAACATGGATTTTGTGTACTGAGTTAAAGAAAAACAACCACATTTAGTCTTTGCCACTTACACAAGTCTTACAAGTCCTTTAGCACAAGACCTCCTAAAATATTTATGTTGCTGGCATGCTATACAAGTACTTCTCATTTGCATTTGAGCCACATTTCTTCTATTGCTGTTTAACACAGTATATGCCTACAGAAGATGGACCACAGAGATCATTTAGCAGACACAGGATCACAGGATAATTCAGTTAAGAAGGGACCTCAGGAGGTCTTTAGTTGATCCTTGTGCTCAAAGCAGGGTGAGCAAGGTCACATTATGCAGGACTTTATCCAGCCTGGTCTTGAAAACCTCCAAGGATTAAAAATACAAAGAATCTCTGGTCTTTTCCAATGCTCGACTGTCCTGACAGTGAAAATGTTTTTCCTTATACCTAGTCAGAACCTCCCATTTCAATTTAAGTCCATTGTCTCTCATCCTTCCTCCACAATACTGTGAAAAGCCTGACTCAAGTTTTCCTGATAGTCTCCTCATAGGTATGAGAAGACTGCTCTAAGGTCACATCCATCCATTGTGTGTCATCCCACCCGTCCCCCCCATCCGTTCTCCCCCCCAAAGACTTCTCTTATCCATGCTGCACAAGCCCAATATCCCCACCTTCTCTGGAATCTCCCCCATCTCCTGTTCTCCCTCTCCACCTAACCTAACCATCCAGAAAGACTTAATTTTGTTTCAGGGCTAAAAAGAAGAAAGCACTGTTGCATCTTTTTACTATTGCCGTGTAAATACATAAGCACTGAAACCCTAAATTAGCAAGAAGCAAGCCCAAACCCCTACTTTGCTAAGTCTCATGTATCTCAGTCATTGCTTCTTAGGGATAATATTAAAAACAGCAGTATGCATTCCAGATTTTAGCATAAGGAAATATTTTCTCAGCTGACTGACAGTTCACCCTATTCCTTCTCCACATCTAAGGTTTTCAGGCTTTATTTATGCTATATATATTGGTTTATGCTATATATATATGTGTTCATTGAACTACTTTTAATTTCACGTTCTTAGAATTTGATGACTGCAATCAAGACAAGCATTGCATGTTAAAACACTTTTGAGCTGGTTAAGATTTCAATACTCGTAAATGCTGCCTTCAAGCCATTTCTTATGTAGAGCAACTGAAACCATTTTTATAAAGAATTTAATCCTCATATTGGAAAGGATTTAAAATTCTTCTGTCCTCTATGAATTTGAGCTTTGTTTTGAAGTATTAGTCAATTTTTGCACCTTCAGAAATTTCTTCTGAATCAGGGCTCAAAATAATTTTGTATCCAAAACTTAATGACATACGCTTTAGTACTATTGGTACTATTATATTGGTACTATTGGTACCAATATTGGTATTATATAGTACTATTGGTACTATATATTTAGTAATATTGGTACTATATTTAGTACTATTGGAATACAGAAGTTGGGAGAACTAACTAAATTCCTCTTTAAACTCTTTGTTTTTTAAAATTAGGAAAAAATACATTGATATATGTGACTGCTAGACTACCTTTAAGGGTTCCATCACTTCCAGCTGGAGAGCAGACTGACTGTGGTGACCTCAAGGAAAAAGATGCAGCATTCCTTATTGAAGGATCAGCATCCTAAAGTGACAATGATAAAAAAATTAACATTATGAACATGAACATTTGATAAAATAAAGACTGAAATTAGTACATATACTGATAAATTGGATTGGATGAAAAAGCATACAACAAATATTAGAAAAATATTTATTTATATAAAATTCTTTGTAATTTAGACTACTATATATAGGCAACATTACAGAGCACAATCAGCCTTCAGAACAATCTAGAATCAGAACATGCACACAAAAATAAATCTATATCTATATCTTCTAGCTAAATAAGCACTTTTAGTTGACATTAAGATTCCATTTAGAAACTTTTTCTTACATGCACTCATAGTAAAGAGCTGAAAAGCAGAAAGATGAAGTCTATACAATACCAACTTAAAGAAACCGAGTATAAAAAGTAGATTTTTTTTTTTAAAAAAAACAAACTCAGCATTTTTTCACTTAACCTACCCTTAAAGTTATTAAAAGAATGCCATCTTACTTTTACAGTTAAGCAAACTAACACTTTGTATTTATATTCTCCAGCATACACACATCAGGACTGAACAAAACCTGTAGCACTCCCATTACAGCAGCTGAGATGGATGGCAACTACACGCTCCCTGACAATGGCCAAACAGCCAATTTCCACATGCATAGCAGCAACTAGCCACTGTACATGTTACACCTTGTGAAGGCGTAGTTCACACTGCTTAGGGAAAAGGAAAAAAGTTTGATATTTATGGACTGAAGGTGCACAGAAGGCAAAGAATATAAATCTGTAAGAAACCAGATTTCATCAGTTTCACCATCCATGGGCACTTACAAAACAATTATATTAGATTCCCCCCCCCCCCCCACACAGCAAAATGAATCTAAAACTCATGCTGTGCTATTAATTACACTTATTTTTGCAACAGTGCTTGCAAAAAGACTTGTTGCCTCACATGATGAAAGCTTCATGTGCAAAGTAATCTAATATTCAGATTCAGTGCAATAAAAAGAACTATACCTTAAACTTACATGTGTTTTATTGCAAGTCAAAATGAATTAGTTTCCTGATGTATGAGTTACTCATTTATTTAATACATTGAAATTATGGAGCTGATTTTTTTCAAACCTGAATTATCTTTGAATTGTAATAAATCTATATACATATATACACACACATATATATATGTTTTATTGGGACAGGAGAGGTTCTCTACCCATGATTGCCAAGGACACAGGCAAAGGTGCCTTTTATTAAATTAAGTAAACAAACGAACTAGGCAAATGACCTTTCAGGTACACATGCCATTCCTACCATAGCTGACAAATTTTCAGAACTGTTCATTTACTGTTTCCTAGTTCAGAACTTCATCAAGTGGTGAAATGTAAGCACGAACTTATATTCTAGGAATGTTCTCAATTTTTTTAAAAAATGGTCCTTAAATTGAGTATATGCACAGTGAGCCTTCAAGGGTATACTTGCTGATTTTGCAAAATCATATATTGCAAATACACAATATCCTGTAACTATTCATCATTTTTAAAGCAACAAAATCCTAAAAATAAGAAAAAGACTGAACAATAAAGTTTAAGTTTTATGATTTAATAATCCTCATTCATAACTATCTGTGCCAAAGGTCACACTGCTTCTGAAAAGGCTGCAACATTATGATTAAGCTTATTATTCATGCGTAGATGCAAAACTAATTAATCCAAATTCTTCAAACTGTTTTCTGCATGATAGCTACTAAAATCAGCTTTTAAAGTTATGATTACTTTTAACCTTTAGTATTTCTCCAATTAAACTGAACAATGATGGTATGTTTTACGTTTTCATAGTCTGTCAGTTTTGAATGAGTTTGATGTCTATGTTCTCATGAACTAGGAAGTGATTGTATTGCTTGGATCACAAAATTAGGGATGAATGTTTTTAAATACTTCCTCTTTAACACTGTGAAATAAATTATCCTAATATTAAAAAGTTTTCCAAAAATCTTGTCTTAAAAAAACAAGATTCTCTTGAAAGTGTACCTTTAACATAGTTGGGGGATATATACACACTTAATGCCAAGAACAGCTTCTTATTTTGAAGAATTTGCATTGCTAAAGCAGAGACTGAGAAAAACATCTGATGATTGTGTATTATGATAGATTCCTTCATTACAAAACTCTCTTGTTTAAGATATTACTTCTTAGCTAATATTTTTAATTAGCATAATTCTTGCATTTAAAAAAAGAAGACTAATAAAACTAATAACTCACTTGGAGTTCTAGCGTATTAATCCTGGTAAGAGATTTAGGAAGTCCGATGTTAATAGAACACTTGTTGAATACAACACTTTTTTTTGCTTCCACAAGCTAATTTAGGAAGACAAGAGTTACCCGCAGTTTTTGTAAGCTAAATAAAACACACATGCAAAAAAAAAAAAAAAATAAAAAAATAAAAAAGGCCTGCTTGCCACCAGGTTTTGATGAAGTTCTGTAACTCCTCCTGTTATGCCTACTGTTGTAGGCATCATTATGACCACACTGTTCAAAGAGTTAAAGTCAAAAAATAAAAATCCCCTTAAGAACTGTTAAGAGACTGTGTAAGAGACTTTACAATCCCAACATGATTCATCCACAGGATGAGATGCTCATTAAGAAGTAAATTAAGAAGTTCAAAACACTGTGGGAGAAAGTTGCTGGTTTTTTTTTTCCTTTAGATTCAAGATTTCAGCAAGAATTTCTCCCACATGAACTAAAGTTGCTATAGGAAAATGTCTTATAAAGAAACCATAAAAGTGCATAATAGACCAGTAAGAAAAAGTGTCAAAAGGAATTTTTGGTTTTGACAACACTACTATATTACCCAATAGGTTATTCAAATATGTCAAGTCTAATTGACAGTTATGGGAATCTTCATAAAGACAAGTTAACTATATACCTATTTAGAATCTAGTATTGTTTGCATCAACATATTGCTACAATAATTGCAGATACACTCTACCATTTCTTTGAAATAAACTCACATATGAGTAAGATTTTTTACTTTTCATAATTTCATCAGAATCAATGTTACAAACCCTTCCAAAGGAAAGAGAGATCTAGAAAAAAAAAAATTAAAACTCACACATTAAATTTGCATGGTTGAGTGTACACTGTGAAACTGAAATATATTTTCAGTGGTTTTATTCATCAACAACAACGTAGTATCTGACTTCTAATGCAGCTAAACACATACTTGCTTTATCATAGTAAATATTTGCTTTATCATAATAAACTGATCTAGGTAACATACATCACTACTTATCCTGTGCACCATCTGCAGGTAGTCTTCATTTGAGCCGTGTCTAGAATTATCAGCATGATGATTAGCTGAATTTCCAGACAATTGACTTGAAACTTTATTTTCATGGAGATTCCTCATCCCAGCTGTGACAATGGGACTGGATACTGAAGCTGAAATACAAAAAAATATAAATAACTATACTGATATGTTCACACAGTCATTAACTTTAAAAAATTTCACAGAAAACACCATAACAGTGGATATTAAAGAGTTGGAAGCAAGAGGTCTGGAATCTGAACAAGAATCCAACTTTCTTGATTCAATCCTTTTGCCACAAATACCTTGAATAAAATTAGATATTTAAGATTTGAATTTTCAAGACGATTTAAAACCTAATTTTCATGTACAGATTAACCAAGCTTCTCTCCAATTCTATCCTAATTACAGTCAGTATTGTATTCTTATAGGTTATAGAAAACTTTATTTTCCTCTATATAATTTGTATTCACTACCTTTAGTAACTTCCAAAATATTCATGAGACACATAACATTACATACAGAACAGCTATATAAATTCTAAGCATATTGCTAAACTTTAAGAACAGATGATTTAAAAGAATCCAATGAGAATTCTACTTACTAAAAAAAAAAATGCCTAGATACTTAACAATGTTCATGTTGTTCAAGATTGTTTTTAGAAGAGGGAAGAACAAAGAAATCCCTTCATTCTGAAGGTCATCTTTGCCAGTTACTGCATACATTGAGCGTAATTCTAGCCAACTTAGTCTAGTTTACACTATAAAGGTTTGGTAAGGCTAAATAAGCTGGCAGCAAAACTTATGTTACACTGGCAAAAATTAGGTTTTCGCTAGTACAGATAAACAATTGCCATAGCTAACAAATAAAAGCTTTTGGGTTTGATTTTTCTATTCTCATGTATACGTGACAACTATGTAAGATGGGTGTACATAGGGGAGGAGCAGTGTAACATGAACATGTGGCTTACTATTTCTTCTTTTTTTGTTGTTTTTAAAATAAAATATATACTACCACTCTGTACAGTCAGGTGTCCTGGTTTGAGGTAAAACAGAACCAATTTTGGTCAGTAACTTCGCTTCTTAGCTGGGCCTCTCTAACTACTGAAATTAACAGCACATTGTGCAGACAATGTTCACTCTCTCAGGCTTTGTTATTTGCCCCGTTGGAGGGTCGGAAGCGGAAAAGCATAGTGGGGTCCCACCTGCAAGGAGGAGCAGACAGGACAGGTGACCCAAAACTGACCAACAGGGTATTCCATCCCATCTGCCTCATGCTCAGTATAAAGGCTGAGGGATCAAAGGGTCGGCTCTCTCTTCCTGCAATGGCCGACGTCTGAGGAGGACTCTGTTCTTCTGCCTGCGATCCCAATCCTGAATGCAGATCCGGAATCCAGTTCCCGTCCGTCACTGAGTCCAGCCTGGGACTGCCCCAGTGCCAGCTGGTGTTGTGATTGTCATCTCGGGAGCTTGATACGGTTTTGTATATATTTCATTATTTCTTTTTTTATTTTATTATTAATATTTCATTAAAGTAGTTTAGTTCCTTCTAAACTCGTCTCTTTTTGTCCCTCCTCTGCCTCTCTCTCTGAAGAGGGGTAGAAGGGAGCATCTGTCGGTCCCATCTGGGGTGCCCCACATCCCCAGTGGTCAATTCGGCCTAAACCATGTCATCAGGAAAGCAAAGCTTAAACATATCCAAAAACTTCCCTATCAACTCAAAGATTTACATTAAGCATGTGACTCCTTCAAAGAATTCAGAGAGCCATGAAACACGCACATGAAGGTAAAGCTGACATGAGATAGGAGAATAAAACAAACATCACAGACTTACCTTGCTGCATCTGAGGATGTGGTGTATAACTTGGAGGATGTGAATATGGCATGTATCCTGCAGGGCTTTGAGGAGCATATGGACTAGGCACTGGACTATTCTGTTGTGCCAAAAATCTGTTCCCAGAGCTTGTCTGTGGTGGCACAAACCGGCTAAAATTAAACAAAATAAAGTTTTAAAAACTTGGAAAAGGAAATTTAGACAAATTTATTATTTCTCTTGAAATATTATACCTTTGGAACATTATACCTTCTGTAAGAGACAAAATTCCAATGCAATCAAGAAACCCCTTCAAAAGCAGTATTTTAAGCTATTGATACCTTCCCAACTTCAATTATTACTTAAGAGCCACAGCTTAGGTACTGCATTAGTAAAAGTAAAGAATAGAATAAAAAGCATTCATAAGACCTCCACCTAGGGAAAGGAAATAATGACACAAATATTTATTTCAATAAGATATGCATATCTACTAAAACAAGATCTGCAATTTCCAAAAGTTAGTCCTAGAAGTTTGAATGAAAGTGACAGCTACGGTTTAAATATCATATAACAACTAGCTTGCTAGGATTAACAAGGAGCCATCTACTCTAATATGATTTTTCCAGTAAGATTTCAAAGAACTTCATCTAACAGAACTATACTGCCAAGATATAGGAATGTGATTGGCAGTTAGGTAGGACCTGACCCAAAGTCCACTGAATACAACTTATTCTTTCACTGGCTTTATCTTAGACTCACCCTAAAGATAGGAAGCCATGAAAATAAAATAGGCTTGTGACAATAAGACATGTACGTTATAGCTTACATTCTTATATGAGCTTTTCAAAATAAAAATAAACTAAATAAATACTTCAGAAAGTACAATACATGCTTTCACAACCCTCAGTTCTAGATAGCAACTCTATGAAGGTAAGCTTCCATAGAAAGAAATAGCAAAGTATATAACACAAGGATTTTGTAAGGATTTCAAGAAGACTTAGCACACTGTAATATTCACAGTTCAAAAAACCTTCTTCAATATCACTTTTAGATATAAAAGTAAAAGAGTGTACCGTTTTTTGTGCAGATACCGAGCATTTCATTTGCCAAAACAATTACAGTAACTTGAAGTGAAAACAGTCTATTTTAATGATATCTGATAACTGGAGATGAAAACTGTTAAAGCCCAGTAACTAGGCTGAAACTACATACAGAACTCTCCTCTAGTCCAGAGTACTTTATTATACTAGCAAAGGCCTGGATTATAGGTACATGCTACTTGCCGACATTCAAAGTTTGAAAAAGAACCAGAAAGTTGATGAGGAAGCTGCTGGAAGACTGGCCAAACTACTGGGCCTATCCTCCTCTAAGTAGCCTTTTGTATAACTGTTACAGCAGTACTCCATGCTTTTACAAGCCTTCTTTCCCACCCCTCATGTCACATTGGTACTGTTATACATGCCAGAACACATAGCCTCTTCTCTCCTATCCTCCTGCCACCAGTCTCAGCCTCTACCACAGGTAGAGAACAGCTGGAGGGGTGGCAGGAGCAGGGGGATTCCTTAAGCAGGAAAGAAAGTTTGCCAAAATCATGGGACTAGCCAGAATACAAAGATTAACTCACTATCAAAAAGATGTTTCTTTGCCAGCTGAAGAAACTCATCCTGCTGTCAGACAAATGCAAAATTTGTCTTGACGCTGATAATCTTCCATTCATATACTTGCAACAAAAATTGACTGCCACTGTAGGAAGTAATTTGCAGTTTACTGCCCATCCCACTCCATTTAAAAGAAAGTGTTACCTGGAAGGGCTATGTGAGATAGTGGTTTGTTGATAATTAGAAGATGCAGGACTACCTCGCATGGAATTCTGAGAAATATTAAACTGCGACAGCATCATCCCTGTTAAGAAGAAGACAGCAGCATTACTTTACATGCATTTCCTTTTTAATCAATGAAGTCTCTCATTTCAGAAATTATTATATACGAAGAGATTATAAACTGTACAGACATTAAGATCTACCTACAACTGTTAGAAAACATTAAAAAAAAAAAGATTGATTCCATGTAAGATGTCCATTTTACACTATGATATAAAAAAGTATTCCCTAAAGCAGTATTAATTCAATTATAAGTATCAATGGTAGTTCCTTCCTTAGCCAAAAACCTGCTAGTAAATAGAAACATTTTATAACAAGACATATACACCACACCCCAGACTAGTGTGTGTAGTACTCATTGTGCCAATAAGTAAAAGATTTGGAAACTTCACAACAAGTAAGAACAACACAGAAAATTTATCTCCCATTTTTAGAACAAGTATAGCAAACAATCATCTCGGGCTGAGATATTCTCCCTGCTCCCATAATGCCTTTCGACCCAGAGACAAAAGATTTCTATTCCACCTCCACCATGCTAAAAAGGAATGTTATCAAAGAAGGTGCTTAAATATTTTCAATTGCAAAGAACCACCAATATCCCACCTGTAGACTCCCATAGCCTATAGATTCCCACAGTCATGCTTTGGAAATTCAGGAGTTGTACTAGATGGCAAGCCACAAGTACCAATGTGCTTCAAACTAACTCACATCTTTGTTAAAGAGAATTTAAAGAAATCTTGGGTTTTTTTTCCTCTCTCTTCAATACAGGTATAAAGAATTTCCTAACCACCACATGACACCGAAAGTTGAAGTGGTGCAGGTACACAAACACTTATATGACTTTTAACCAGGTGATTTTAATGACAGAATTGAATGTCTTGCAGCTAAAACGGCATCAGAATTCATGTGCACACTGCAGCTTGGGAAGCCACAGCAAGTGATCCACAGCTGTGGGTAAAAGCACATCAGTAATACAAATATTTTAAACCAAAGGTTAAATAGAAGGCTGACAGTAGTCCCCAGTCCAGTGTTTGGGAACCATCAATCCTTGAATTACTATTACTGATTTCAATTACTGCAATATTCACACAAGCAAAGATAGTTTCAGAAATCCTCCCTATCACCCTCTTTTCTCTTCTCCTCTCCCCAGCAGAGAAGAGATGGGATAATCCCCCAGGAATGCAGCCTCCCGGTAGGTATGACTTGCTGTATTCCAAGTACATTAGCACAGGCAAACTAGCCCAGAGCAGGAGTGAAAGTCCTGTGTTGTGCTGAAAAAAAAAAAAGTCAGAGACCTCCATACTTCAGTACAGAGCACATTTCATTGTCCCGAGTAAAAGAAGGGGACTCCTCAACTCCTGCAAAATTTGTTTAAATGGATACTGGTTGCCTCACACAGAGGCAAGTGATGAGGAAACTCCAGGGGGTTTGTGTTGGAGGCAGCACCCAGCATGCCCACTGCTCACTCACCTCACTGCCACTCTCACCACAGCTAGTTAGTAATCAGTCAGACTACTAATCCTTACCATTCATGTATGGAAAGCTGATGTAATGTGCCCATTCTGCTTTGCTTTATGCTTAAAGCAAAGACTGCACTTTTAAAATACTTTAAAAATGTATCTATTTCTTTTCTCCTCCCTAAATTTAAGAACACGTTTTGAACCACAGATGCAGTGGCTTTTGGTTTAAAAGAATGACAGAAAATATATAAATGAATCCATTTTTAATGCCATTTAAAAAACCCTAAAACTTAGTCTGTTCTCGCCTCTCAATCTCTGTTGGAGGGGGTGAGGGCAACATGGGGGACACAATCTAGATAACTTAAAAAAAAAACCAAACAAACAAAAAAAACCCCACCACACAACCTCTCTTCTTCCCCTCCCCCCCCCCAAAACAACCCACAAAAAACCCCACCAAACAAAATAACCCCACTACAACAGTGTCTCCAAAGTTTCCAGACAGTTAACAAGTTTGCCTAGTAATGATGTAATGAAGGAGTTAAAATAAGCCCCAAACATTTAGTCTAAAAAGGAGTTGAAATTAGTCTGTGACCATTAACACTAAAATATCTTCTTGTACATTTTTTACATTGTTTTCATATCACTAAGCAGCAGATTTATGGCTCCACTGTGCATTTCCATACCTTAAAATACTTAAGAATTTCTTTTAAATGCAACTTTAATTTTGATTGTTGGTAATGTTCAGTTTTGAGAAAACATCATCCTAGTAATAACATTCCTAGAATGAGCTTCCTTAACATATACTCTCAATCTTGACTGTAAATTATTTTGCTTGGAAAAAAGTTATACTCATAAATCCATTTTAGCATTCCAACTAAATGCCAAAGAACACACTATGTAAAAACACAGCCCAAGATCACAGGAAAAAGTCTTGTATGATTAAACTGTATTACAACATCATGCGTGCTTAAGCTAGCACTGCTCACCAACAAGTAAGCATTTTTCAGTTAAATATACATTCTTATTGAAAGTATACGTTTACAAAGATTTTTCCCTTTTACAGGAACACATGCACTTGAATTCTTGTATAAATTTAAAAAAATTGTCTAAGTAACTGACATTTATGGAATAATGCATAAGATTTTAATCCTCAAAAATGCACAAGTTGTGCAAATAGTTTAAAGTGAATTTTAAGTCCTTTTTGCACCCTAAGTTATGCTATGAATACTAACCTATTGCAATACATTATTTAAGATGATCTTTTAACACATCTGCTGAAAGACAAAGCCAAAGCATTGAGAAGGAAAAGAGAAAAAAATATTATGAAAACTGAGACTAAATAATTTCTTAATTTTAAATAAAGAAATCCACTTCAGTCATACACTATAAGATGTAAGACAGATGTAGTTGAAAGATGGCACCCAGAACTTTCTCTTTCATCTGATAAAAAAAGATCTAAAATAAAATTAATATGCTGCCCTTGTACAAAGTTAGGCCTGATGCTGAATGTGTGACTCAGTCTGTTCAGACAACCTAGTAATAGAAAACAGTCTGAAAAATCTAACTAAAAATCTAATCTGCATGAAGACTTCCAGCAATGGGACTATTATCAAAAGACAGCAAAAAAGAGTTTGAACACTGCTGCTACGTTACTTGAAACGAAACATGCCAGCAATTTTGGGAGGTGGGGGTGGTGGGGGTGTGCACCCAGGACACAAAGCAAAAGAAGTATCCACATAATACATCTTTCTTGCACTATTTGTTCACCATAACTAAAACCAATTGTCACTCTAAACTTAGTGTTGAGCTACAAATCAATATGACCTTGGAAAAAAACATCAGCACAGAATTCTGCTTGTGCTTTACCTTATATTCACAACTATTCAAAACATAATATTTAGCTTTCTGAAGATGCCTTTATTTCCTGACAAATTGTACTGAGCCAATAATTTTATTCCACATTTAATGTAATTCTTTAGCCAGGTGGTCTTTCTGTTTGTCCTGGTTCCGGCAGGGATGGGGTTAATCTCCCCAGGAGCCGGCAGGGGGCAGGTATTCCATACCACGTGACCCATGCCC